AAAAAAAAAAAAAAAAAAAAAAAAAAAAAATTTATAATTCTTTTTTTTTTTTTTTTTTTTTTGTTGTTTGGGTTGTTTTTTTTTTTTTTTTTTTTTTTTTTTTAGAAAAAGAGGGGGAGGGTTTAATTAATCTTTTTTAGTATACAACTGACTTTTCAACTCACTAGCCAAGTGGCTACTGGTAACTAAGATGTCACGACAATTTCAGTTTGTTTACTAGCCAAACGGGCCAGTGGAAATCGAAAACCACAAGCCAAAACTGAATTTCTGCTAGTCTGTGACTAGTTGGCTACCGTTAGTATCGAGTCCTGGAAATGAATCAAAGGTTAGAATTTAGTTCTGACCAAGACAGTTGTTTTACTGTGTTACCTCAGTTAACGCTTTAATTCTCAAGATCTAATTGTTAATTCTCCGCTCTAGTTGCTACACATTTCCTGGTAAATAAGTGATAAAAACTTGGTGTTAGATCAAGATGACAATGGAGTATTCTCATTATCCATTTGGTGGATAATGTAAGGAGGTTAGAGGGAGAAGTTTCATGTTAATCACTTCAGGTTGATAGATTCATTGCCACAGTTAGATTTGTGTGTTTGTGACAGCAGTTTTGAATGTATTATCGAGAGTCCGTTGCATTGATTAGTAGTTTACGTTATCTCCTCTCAGATGACTGGATTACGTGTAGTGTATGCCTAATTAATATTTACTTATTTTGTTTTGCTGGTTAGGAAATGGTGGATACTGCTGATACATTCCGAGGAGTCCTTGACAACTTTCACCAATGGCTTGAAAAACATAAACTTGGATCGAAATATAAATTTGCTGTTGTTACTGATGGGTGAGTTTACTTCTCGTACATGTTTCTTCCCCTTCCTGTGCTGAGTTTCTAAAACTTTAATTATAACCAGAGTGACAGGTACCCGTATATACTACAGGGCTGAGAGAGACACCGTGATGGTGTCTCGCCCAGGCAGAAATAGATTGATGAATATGCAGAGGTTGCAGACGTTGGGCTTACAAACTCACGATGGATTGCTTAAACGACAAACGACACTACAGTTTTTGGTTTGAGTGACGGAAGGACTAAAAGAGTGGGCTCATTCAAGACCGTAGATTATAAGGGGGGGGGGGGGCTAACGAGAAAGGGGGGCTACCAGAGGTTTTATAGCAATTCCTTTCTTCGTTTTTTCCGAATCTAGCCCTGACGATAAGAAGCGTTTCTTCTCGAAGCAGTGCGAACTCTGCTCCATTCCTATACCCGAGTACGCCAGAAAGTGGATTAATCTAAGAAAATTGTACAGAAATATTTACAAAGTGAAAGAGGGGACTCTTAAAGACATGGTCAAGAAACTTGGTTTGAAATTTGAAGGGCGGCTGCACTGTGGGATAGACGATGCACGAAATGTTGCAAGAGCCTTACAAAAGATGGTCGAGGATGGCTGCGAAATAAAATTTAACGAGAATATGAATGATAACACCTAACTGTTGACGAACTCGGGACACTGCCATCAATTGAAAAAGCCGTGAAAAGGAAGCCCGTTTTTTAGCGTAAAACGTGGTGTTTCTAAAACTCACCAACGAACTGAAAAGAACCCCAGTTAGAATTCAATTTTCTGAGATCATAAGGGAAGTAAGTGAAAACAGTCATTAATTTATCAACGAGCGTGATTTCTCACTCACTCGAAAGAGCTTTTAATTATTTTAGGAAAGGTGGGTTACGTGTTATTTTGCTAATTTTTCCATTTAGAAATAATAAATGTCTTTCGACAAATCAAACGCTCGGAAGCTGAGGGTCTGGGGTTTGATTCATAGTGACAGGGACCGCGGAGAGGGAAGGGCTGGGAGGGGGGCCTTTGGAACCCCCTTACGTTTTTGAAAGAAACTTGTTCTGTTAAGTATGCCCCATCCCGCTGCCTTTTTGGCTGAAGCTTATGCGTTCATCTTTAGCCACACCACCTACCCGCCCCCTTCCTTACACACACACAAACACCCACACACCCACCCACACACCCACACACACACACACACACACACACACACACACACACACTCAGTCTTTGCTGCGCGGGCCCTGAGTAAGGGACTCAGATGCTTTCTTTGTGCTGCGTGCAGGACGAAAGGAATAATAATATCGTGAAATAGGTTGTGGTTATTCATCGTGGTAAATAATACTTAAAAGAGGTTCAATCGTTTGTCTCACGATATGGTCACTTGGGATGTGGATCGCGACGTTTCGACTGCATACTACTCGTCTTTTTTTGTAAATTATGAGTTACCTGTTAGTGGAGATAAGATTTTAGCTAGAAAAGCGGACAAATCATATGCGAAGGTGTTCACGCATCACGCTTTATGAATCTTCGCTAAATCGCAGATTCTAAGTGGCTTTTTTGGTCGTGTTCTGATCTTGTTGTAGACGATCTCTGATAGATATCCTTTTCGTTTCAAGTACATAATGCTCATGTTGAATTCCTGAAAGTTAAAGAGTGTCATCCTGCGGCTCCCTGTCCTCTGATGAAAACAACAACAGAAAACGCCGCTGACTGATACACCATACCCCTCAGCACAGTTTGGTGCGACGATTCAATCTTCTTACCATCAGATGTCCGCTTCGTTTCAAGGTTTATAGTGCCCAACTCAGAAAGCGAGGTCATGGTGTCCTTCGACGTTGAAGCGTTGTTTACCAAGTACAAGCAGCTCGGCAGAAACTGGAAGACGATTCCAGCCTATCTGACCGCACGACACTAGCACCTAGTCAGATCACCGACCTCCCAAATTTCGTATTGAGATATACCTCATGCACAGTGCATCAATTTACGCATGGACAGAAGGAGCAACTATAGGGAGCCCGGTTTCCGCTGTTATCGCTAAACTCTACATGAAGAGTTTTTGAAGAACAAGCAGTAACATCGGCACCTTACAAACCCCAGTACCTAGAAACGCTGTCTAGACGAAACCTTCTCGTTCTTGGCCAGTGACAGCTTAAAAAGCTTCCTACAAGATTTAAACCATCAACAGCCCTCCATTCGCTTCGCTATGGAGACGGAAAGAAACAAAAAAACTCGCCTTTCTCGACACCGCAGTTACAAGAGAACCTGACGGACGCCTAACCACCGACGTTTACAGGATGCCGACACACACCGACCAATACGTGACGTATGATTCTCGCCATCCGCAATTGGTAAAGCGCGTTATCGCAAAATGCCTTTACGAGCGTGCGAAACGTCTCGTCACAAAACCCTCCGTTATCTACAATGCGAAGGAACACCTGTCTTCTGTTCTTGTTTCTAATGGTTATCCTTCTTCTTTCGTTCTGAGGGTAACCAAACTAAGACACCGACCGCTGGCACTGAAACCCTACCGAGTTCAGATCCACCCGAGGTCAAAGGCCTCTCCGAACAATTTCGCTGCTGTCAACATCAATAACGCATACGGGCTATTTTCAAGTCAGATACAACGCTACGATCACATCTAGTACGCCTAAAAGATGCCATCGACCCGGTTGGCTAAACAGGATGGCGTAGTCTGCAGGATTCCCTGTGAGCATGGAAAGGTTTACATTGGCGAAACTGGCAGACCTAGGCAAGAGAGAATCAAGGGTCACGACAGGGATATCCGACTCGCTAAGACAGACCTCCGCCGTCTCAGAGCATGCCCACAACGCCGGACGCCGCCCGCCCGGGAACGAAGTAAAGTTTATTGATTGTGATCCCCATTTCTACACACACAAGGTAAAAGAGGCAATTGATGTAAGACTTCATCCAAACGACATTAACAGGGAAAGTTGAATTTAAATCCCAGAGGCCCGGGAGAGTTGAAGAGCCGTGCGGCAGCGGACCACAGAGGGAACCTGACTCGAAAGATTTATTATTCACAGTCGTGGATTCCATCCAATCACAGCTGAGCACCACAGCACAAAGGTGATGCGTACTCACTCGACCTCATAGCCTAAAGAAAAACAAGCAGTTTGCAGTCGAAACGTCGCGATCCACATCACAGGTGACAACATCGTTCGACAAACGACTACTTTTCTCTTTGAAATAACAATATCTTTTGACAAATTCTTTCCTTTTTGTTTGTATTTTTTTGGTAACCGTACAAGAGGTTTTTGCGTCTCTAAGTACGCTACGCGACTTTCATTTTAGTTTCGCCGAAACAGAGCCCGATACAAATTTTTTAGTGAAATCCGGCACTCTGATACACACACACAGATCGATAGCTACAATCGCAATACTGAAATCCTCGTTGAGGTCCTGTTTTAGGTGGGCTATCGCGGCAGAATTCATTATCATCAATTTATATGTTAATTGTAAAGGATACCAGCCTCTGGAACCAGATAAATTTAATTGGGCAACGCATCTTTCTCATCGAGATGAATCGTTTGGTGGAGAGGACAGAGACAGTAAAGGTGAGTATTCTTGTATTCAACTGCCTAGCTGGTATGCACTTACACCGACTTACCAGGGTACTTGACTAGCTTGAGCTTGGTTTCTAAACTCCTCAAGAAAGTAATCCCCCCAAAAATTTTTGTTTAATATTTTTGTTTAAAATTACAGTTTAATATTTTGTTACTAGGATGTTAATGAAATATCAGAATTTATCCCTCTCCTAAAACATATCTTCATGAACATGCTCTACGTCTTTAACATGCTTTAACAACAATATTGCTAAGTCAACCAAGTGTGACAAAATTGCGTTCGTATCCATGCACACGGCCACGTAATGTCCATCCTATCATTTGACAGAAACTAGATAAATATTGTTTTTATGGAAACAGTTGTTAAGGATCAGTATTGAACTTGAATTAACGTTTTGTATTATTCAATTACTCCTCAAAAGTTCCATATTGTTCTCCAGCGCCGTTTCCTAGGACTGGTGCACGTTCTTCATGCCCTCCATCTGCATTTTCCGCCTTTTTCAACAACAAAATTATCGAAACAACCATTCCGCAAATTAGAACCGCGTTGACCACTACAATCATCCAAACAATGGGTGTAGATGAGTCAGGGTTCAGAGACGCGTACCTTACGTTCATGAAAGAAAAGTGAAGGGTCAAGAGAACCAACGTCTCTGCTGTGTTTTCCAATGGGAAATTTTTGTAAGAATCGTTGAACGGCCTTAAGGACAACTGTAAGCACAGGGCGCTTAGCAAAACAAAGCAAACAGCTATCGTCTGAAAGGACGATGCACGAGTGATGAGGGACAACGCGAAAGCGATCAGCATCCGCCTAAGAAGAAAGATGATCTCGAAAAAGGAACGGAACTCTTCCTTATATGGCAAATAGATTGAACCGAGCCAACTGTCCAAACTTTCTTGGTCTTGTTGGGGCAGCCCATGTCTTCTGGCTAGGTTATTGAAGCGCAGGAGAGGAAGGAACACTCCAAAAGGCACACCGATCACATACAGCGGCAGAGCAAGCCAGCCTAGCACCTGTAGGACGGTGTAGTCACTGCCTTCACACTCCATCCACGGTGCCTCTCTCAAATAACGCTGGCCATTATCCTCACCACAATGCGCTAGGATAGACGCTGTTTTTTTCACAATGGGAAAGTAAGTAAAGTTAAGGGTCATGATCGAGAGTTGTAAACAGGTATTCCGAAGTCGAAATCGTCTTTCTTCTGAATTGTGAGGTTCAAAAATTTTCAAGGCTAGGCAACCAAGGATAAAATACAACCAAACAAGCAAGATGCAAATGAGAGGAAGAATCAAAAGAGATGCAAGCTCGCCGAGAGGCGTAAACAAGCTCGGAAACTCACAAGCCAGGCCAGAGAAACGAAAGTTGAAAACATTTCCAATGTATCGCTGCATCTCCAAAACTTCAACTGGCCAAACGTCATTGTTGGACAATAAGGCATCAAAAGTTTGGAAATAAAACACGGTTGTCTTCATAATTCCTCTTGCAGTCTTTCCTCTTCCGGCTAAACCAATAAAAAGAGCTATTATGTTGAGTTCGAGGAGCCAGGGTGGAATGATTTGAAGCATCGCTAAAATGGTCAAAATGATTATTTGAGAGAAGACAAAAGTAACAGAAAGAAGTCGTTTCTTTTTGTAAAAGAAAAACCCAAGGATAATAAACAGGATGGTAAGAATTAAAAGTACGACTATGATGTAGACACTGGCTTCACTTTTGCGACAGGCGTAACAAAGTATTCCTTGTTTGTAATAATCATGTTCACAAAGGGAGCAAAACCTATCTCGACTACCTTTCTGACAAAGGCACGACTTGTCACAAGTAATGGATGGCCTGTCAATTGCACCATTCGTTTCCTTAAGCCAATCAGGATCAATCTCACATTCACAAGCGCCTGTTGGATTGCATGTTGTATTTACGTGGGGACTGGTGCCCAAAGCTTGCGAACATCTCACCAGGTGAGTCACGTTTTTATGAAGAGATGAAGGCCAATATCCCTCTTTAATGATCATTGACTGCGTAGGAAGCATTTGATCGTGACACACTCCTCCTTCCATACAAGGTAAACAAGTTCTTCCTGAGCCAAAGTATCCAATGTCGCAAAGGCACAGGCGGTAGAAATAGTAATTTGGGTCTAACACGACAAGTCCTTTGTTGTAACTGAGCCGAGCATTGGGACACCTGAATTTATCATCTGAATTTCGTTTCGTCAAAGTTTTAAAATCAACCGTCACGAAGTTGGGTACAGTTCCACTTTCCTCGTTGGATTCATGCATGTTGGGATTCAGTGATATGTCGAACACTTCCAGCGCTAAGAGTTTTGCAAATTCTTGCGGAATTTGTCCTGAAAGGTTGTTCGCTGAGACGTCAAGATTAAGTAGAAATAACATATTATCTGGGGGAGATGGAAGCTGTCCAAACAAGCTATTACCACTTAAATCTACAGAAATTAAATTTTGAAAGTCCCACAGTTTTGGGGAGATTTTTCCGAGAAAATTGCACTCGCTTATGTTAAGAATACGCAACGATTGATTTACGGGTTCCATTGCTTCTAACAGGCTGTTGAATGTCATATTAAGTTGTTTATTACCAGCCAAATTCAGTACTTCTAGGGATTTTGACTTGAAAACAATTCCTTCTTGTAACCCCGATAACTGATTCCTGCTGAAATCAGCAACTTGAAGCATGGGTATTGAGCCTAAGTCTTTTGGTATTTTTCCAGAAAAATCGTTGTTCGCCAAGTTCAAATGCCACAAGTTTGTCATGTTGCCCATTGTTGAGGGAATGCCTCCGGTGAAAAGATTTCCTGGCAAGAGACACTCAATCATAGCAGGAAAGTAAAGTCCAAATTCGTCTGGCAAAGTTCCCTTTAGCCCAGCAAGAGAGAGATGCATATAACGTAGAGATGAAAGATTGTACATGTTTTCAAATCCTCCATTTAGAAATTTGACACTTTCAAGATCCAAAAACCAGAGCTTTTTCAATTTGGCAATGCTCTTTGGAATCATGCCATTCAATCTGTTTTCTCCAAGACTGAGAACTTGCAGTTCAGTCAAGTTCCCAATGTCTCTTGGAATTTCACCAGACAGGCCCTTTCCCAATTGGCAGCAAAGTTGAACTTTTACCAAAGACTCCATTTTAGGTAAGATGTCACCAGGAATCTTACCAGACAACTTATTAAAAGCAAGATCAAGACGAAGCAAGGTTGTCATATTGGCAGACAAAATTTCAATAAGATTGCCTGAAAGCCTGTCATTGTTACCTATACACAAACCCTGCAAATTACGAAGCTTCCACAAACTTTTTGGAAGGGTTCCATCCAAATTATTTTCTATCAGAGTGATACTGATAATGTAGCTATTGGTTTGATCGCATGTAATTCCATACCAAAGGCAGTGTGGAACTGAATTGTTGGCCCAGTGAGCATTATTTCTCCAACTGTGACCAGCTGTTTGGTTGAATATTTCCATAAGTACAGCTCTCTCTTGTTGGGGCGTGAATGTTGTTTCCAAAGTACTATTTGGTATCGGGATATCGTGCAAACATCCATAGGCAAAAGTTTCATCGTAGTTCAGAGGTATCAGTTTTTCTGTCTTCAAAGCTAGTAAAAAAGTACAACAAACAAGGAAAGAAGACAACAATAAGTAATTACAGATGAAATTCAGCAAGGATTCTGCTTCTCTACACCCTCAGGGATTTTTCCTGACCTCATTCATTGAGCCACATCATAATAGAGGGTGCCAGTAGCAGAGTCATTTGACCTTCGAGTTTTGTGATCCTGCTTTTTATGGCCCAGTTTTTTATATTCACAACTGACTTCACAAAACTATAACTCGCAAATCAAGGTTCTAGGGTTTAAACATCATTTCATGATCCATGATTTCGCTTTATAATCGGGGGTGCCAGGAGCGTAATCATTTGACCATCGAGCTTCGTGATCTTGCCTTCTATGGCCCTGTTTTTGATATTCACAATCGACTATAACTCGTAAATCAAGGTTCTCGGGTTTAAACATCATTTCATGATCCATGTTTTCGCTTCGATTCCCGGCCGATCATAATCAAAGAGTAAAAAGGTTAGGAACGTTCGAAAGGGAAATGAGATTCAAAGTACAACGTGTATTCGCTCTGACGAAGGGCTAACGCTCGAAACGTCAACTTCTTAAGAGGCTGTCTCTCTTATTTCCACCCGGTCAATTTCGCGTCAAAAATAATTTTGCCTGAAACTCTGTCAACAGAAAGACTTCACTTAGGAAAGAACTAAATTAGATTTGGTTTGATTCGAAATAATTTTCTGACTGCGTTAGGGGCCATAATTATTTCCCAGTCCGTGGGGACCGTCGCAACGTCTCGAAAATTGAAAATAGCCATATTTTGTAACATTGTAAAATATTTGATTCGCATAGTTAAGCACCGAATTTATAACAGATTGCTTAAAAACCTTTCTAGTTTGCCAAGAAAGTTAGAAATTGCCCTCCCGATATATTTAAAAAGGCGAATTTTAGCATATTCTGACCACTATAAGTCGCCATCGGCCGATGGCCGTAAATAACCTTTATTTAGACGTTAAGTTTTGGGATTTGGGACCTGGTTGACAACTCTATCCTACACAGCTGTTAAGTTTAGACCTTTGTAAGCAAAAGTATGCAAAAACCCCTGTACGTTTTCATTTTTTCAAAAGTTATGACCGTTTGAATCAGCACATGCACCGGCATTCGCAATTTTTTCACCTAAACTAAAATCAAACTACTTAAATAATTTTGACATGAGGAGCAAGGCTCAGTGCGATGCCTATATCGTGTATCAGATACTGCTTGACATGTCGTCAAACTAGGTTCTATCTTTCACTGATTTAGTTATGAATTCTAAGTGCGTAAAGCACGACAGAATTTAATGTCAGAGATATTATAAGCTTTGAGTATTACATTGACAACGCCTTCAGAACTTCAATGATATAGGAACTAAAGGCAGTTTGTATCTGTAGAGCATATTCTACACTTTCAGCAACTGTATAAGACATGTTCTACATAATTCTACTGTGAACACATTGACAGTCACTAATCACGTCCGACAGTTTGTCTACGAGGATCTGCTTTATGTCTCTCAATTTTATAGAGATCTCAAAATGACTACAGATGGCTCTCAACAAAACCACATGCAATTTCTGAAGTGTGTTACTGTGGTAACGTTCACAGAGGTCATACGTGTCTCCCCGTCCAGTAAAATCCCGATCACACTCTGATCTTTGCGTCGCATTGCTGCTAGCCGGGAGAAAAAGCGCTGAACTTGGCTCTTTGTCAGCCACTGTTCTCCAGTGAACAAACGTGTCTTTGACTCATTTTTCGCATTTCGCATGTCCACTGCAACTTGGTCGGGGTCTGCCTTCCGCCCATTTCTTTCTCCAAGTGTAAACCGTGCCGTTAGGTATTCTTTTACATTCTTTGAAAATCTAACACTGACCCTCGGTTTGCCTACGGCCCATCCTGTTCGTAGAGGCGAGTGCGCGAAGTAACCCCGGGAGAAGTGAGTGGCGTACTGGAATCTGACGAACAGCTCGAACACTCGATACCAGCGGTAACTATCGACGAGAACTTAAGGGCTCAGTCCATTTTGATTGCATCATACTCGCTTAACCTGCTGACTGTATGCTTTCCAACGTCCAGGTGCAGCTCTAGTTGCGAAAACGTTTCGATCACTTCAACACATCCAAGCACAGAGCATTCAAACAATGCGTTGTACTCTCTGTTTCCTTGCTCTCCTTTGAACCATGCTTGACCACATGCTTTTCAGGAGGATCATAAAAGCCTGGAGATTCTATGGCTTGAAGGGACGTTTGACCTTGGTGCTTGATATCAATCACGTCATATGGAATGTACTTCCCTTTACCGATGCCATAACATCTCCAAACTCTCAGACCGGTATCTCCATATTCGAAGTTCTGGAAGCTACTAAAATGCTCAATGTTATTTATACAGTCTTTTTTGATTCGTTGACTATGCTAACTGCAGCGGTTGTTCCCTTCATTGGGTGTTGCGTTAATGCATCTCTCATGTCCACGACAGTTAGAACATCGTGCCCTTCGTTCAAGTAAGCACGAATAGAGGACCTCATAGGGCAGAGGATACGATTACAAATGTCTTCACCAGACTGCGGCTCCGAGTAGTGATAACTATGAACTTCAACCCCAACTCCTTTTGCGACATCTCTCACAGCTGTTACTATGGAGCTGTTGCGACAGCAACCGGCTTCATCTGACCTCAGATAGAATTTTTGCAGGAAAGGATTCTTGACTTTTGTTTTGTTTTATACTCACTTGCGTACGAGCTTTGGCCCAAATGTTAATCAAATTCCAAAATACTGAATTCTGACATTTACCGCACCTCAATATATGTCTAGATCTTATCTTAATTTAAACCGTGCTCCACATTTCAGGACAATACCTGATTGGTAAGCTAGAATTTACATAGAAATCATACGGAACCTGTTGGAACGAGTTGTGCAAAGATAGTATTAACTTCCCTTGACATGTCGAGATGAACTACATTTCTAGTATTTAGCTGCTTTTTCCGGCCGTTGTGCAGCGGGTACTGGCAAGTGCGACATGGTCGCCAGTTTTTACCCATGTTTCCTCAACGCTTTTCGCAGATCCAGAGTTCTTCAACTTGATAAGGGGAAAGGTCGTGTGGCAACCCTGACCTGTTAACGATAAGCTCATATTCTTGTACCTTTCCTCTAAGCTGACCTAAAGGACATGCTTGTAGATGATCATTGATGTCACCTCTACATTCTGAGAGCTTTTTCAACCTCGCTGAAAACTCGCTACAGACTGACGCTATTCTTCTTTAGAAAAAGCACTTGCATGCCATACTACACTTACAGGCCTTCCAGAAAAAATAAAGTGCCAGCAGGTTCACCGGCAATGGTTAATGCGGACCTCTGTGAAAACGGAACGACGGCTGTGTTCCATAGTGCTATCGTTCAGCTTTAAATTCCAAATTTTAGCCCCCAAACTTCGGCATATAGACTTGTGGAGTGATATGACTGATTCTTGAAGAGAATGCAGCAGCGATCCAAAGTTTCAACAGTACTTCGCAACAACCAGTTAAAGAAGAGTGTCGATAGATGCCGACCGCTGAAGTTGGAGTTATTAGCTGGAGTTATCATTAAGTTCACCAATTTGGAGAGCAAGGAACATCTGAAATTTCACATAAAACCAAGATGCGCCGAAGGTAAGCTGTATTTATAACGAAATCTGCTCCAGTGTTTCGATTTTAGTGTAGATGAAAATATCGCGAATGTTCGTGCATGTGCTGATTCTGAAATGGTCATAACTTTTGAAATCGGAAACGTACATGTTTTTGCCTATAAAGGTGTAAACTTAACGGCTGTGTAGGATAGAGTTATCAACCAGGTCCCAAATCCCAAAACTTAACGTCTAAATAAAGGTTATTTACGGCCATCGGCCGATGGCGACTTATAGTGGTCAAAATATGCTAAAATTCGCCTCTTCAAATATATTGAGAGGGCAAATTCTAACTTTCTTGGCAAACTAGAAAGGTTTTTAAGCAATCTGATATAAATTCGGTGGCTTAACTATGTAGTCTCCCTCGCAGCCGTTTTTTTTGGATGTCACGCAACGCTCCCCCAAAAGAACGGCTGCTGACAACCGCACTACATTCCTTTCTCCGAATTGGCCAATCACAGCTCGGGTTCCATTTTCAGGAACCTTTTCGCGCCAGACTCACCTTTTGAGACTCGTCCAATCAGATATCGTTTTCTATCGCGATCCTCATGTGGAAAACACAAGACAAATGGCGGTGCTTGAAGGAGCTTTTCGCAAAGCGTCGTCAAAGTTCAAAATTTTCGAGCTTAAAGCTCACCAGAAGCTTGCAATTAAAAAAGTTTTAGTCGAGAAAGAAGATGTTTTTGTTAAGTTGCCTACAGGATCCGGGAAATCGTTAATATATCAAGCACTCCCGCTCGTGTTTGACCATGTTACCGATGAAAGTGGTCATATTATTGTTATTGTTGTTGCGTTGTACCAACGTGCGGAAACACTCGATAATTCGGGCCGATTTCCTGTACCGGTGATAAGAAGCCACGAACATAACTAATCGGGTTCGCTCCAGCTAGCAGCGGACTGGCAAATGAAGAAGTACAAGTAGTGTAGGAGACGTTGGCCGACCTAAATTGCAGTGTTCTCGAAGCTTCGCCCGGTTTGTTGACGGCAAGCACGCGCTTTTTTCCTCCTGATCTCCATCTGTAGGTCGAAGCAAGCGTTTAGCCCTTGGCCTAGATTGAAAGGCGTCTTGTATTTCCTTTTGATTATTGATGTAATTTACTGTTTCTTATATATTCTGACTTTTATAATCTGTAGTAACCTCTTGAAATAGTGCGAATAAAGAGTTTCAGTTCAGTTTTTAGCTTCTACTTTCTCAGTTGCTCGCTGAAACTTTAACAACCGCTCAAACAATCTAGCGTTCGTGTCGTTGGCGTAGCAGTTGACGTCTATGTTAAGCGTAGATTCTATAATTTNATATATTCATTGCATCTCATTTATCACTTTCACGGGTTTATTACGAATCAACTTAACGGCCTGCTCCCAGTTGGCTTGTTAGCTCAATTGGTAGAGCGCTGCACTAGTATCGCAGAGGTCAGTGGTTCGAGTCCCGTACAGGCCTGATTTTTTTCAGGTCTGATTTTCGCTATTGCATAAATAGCGCTATCTACTGCGAGGATCGCACATCATACGTATCTAATACCGCAGTTCAAAATATATGAACTTCATATATTCATTGCATCTCATTTATCACTTTCACGGGTTTATTACGAATCAACTTAACGGCCTGCTCCCAGTTGGCTTGTTAGCTCAATTGGTAGAGCGCTGCACTAGTATCGCAGAGGTCAGTGGTTCGAGTCCCGTACAGGCCTGATTTTTTTCAGGTCTGATTTTCGCTATTGCATAAATAGCGCTATCTACTGCGAGGATCGCACATCATACGTATCTAATACCGCAGTTCAAAATATATGAACTTCATATATTCATTGCATCTCATTTATCACTTTCACGGGTTTATTACGAATCAACTTAACGGCCTGCTCCCAGTTGGCTTGTTAGCTCAATTGGTAGAGCGCTGCACTAGTATCGCAGAGGTCAGTGGTTCGAGTCCCGTACAGGCCTGATTTTTTTCAGGTCTGATTTTCGCTATTGCATAAATAGCGCTATCTACTGCGAGGATCGTGCATCATACGTATCTAATACCGCAGTTCAAAATATATGAACTTCATATATTCATTGCATCTCATTTATCACTTTCACGGGTTTATTACGAATCAACTTAACGGCCTGCTCCCAGTTGGCTTGTTAGCTCAATTGGTAGAGCGCTGCACTAGTATCGCAGAGGTCAGTGGTTCGAGTCCCGTACAGGCCTGATTTTTTTCAGGTCTGATTTTCGCTATTGCATAAATAGCGCTATCTACTGCGAGGATCGCACATCACACTTACCATTTCAACTTTGTTGATATATTCAAATTATTTCGTTACCCCCTGCGACGCAGTGCCAAACAGTTTCTTTTGAAACTATCAGCCTTTATTCAAATCTAATTTAGTTCTTTCTTAAGTAAAGTCTTTCTGTTGACAGAGTTTCAGGCAAAATTATTTTTGACGCGAAATTGACCGGGTGGAAATAAGAGAGACAGCCTCTTAACTCTTTACGGTGGCCAATTTACAATTTCAGCTTAGTTGATATTACCAAATTACAACGTGTATTGGTTACATACATGTACTGCTTCTGAAGTAACCTGAACTATATGATTCAAGTAATCCAGTTCTACCGATTTTCACGAAAATCGTGGAAATGGAATTTCTCGGAAGAGTGTGACTTTACGCCTTGGTAGCTGGTCTGAAAGTTTTGAGCGCCCGATAAACCCCCAGCACCACAGCCCCACTATTCTAGTCTCAAAGAATACTTGGCAGAAAAAAAGAAAAACAACCCTGTTCGTTGTTTTATCAGTAGTAGTAAACAAAAAAGTGTGTATCAAGTGTGGTACGACACTGCCTGTTATGAGTCGACTATGCTTTTCTACTGGCTCGCACTTACCTCCGATGTCTGGTTTGTTCCGCCTTGTTCTGTAGTAGAGTGACCTTGATCCATAGTTTGACAAGCTTCCTCCGAACCTAAGAGATCGGTTATGTTCGAAGCAAACGAGGAGCACCACGATCCTGAACACTACGGGTAGAAGGGAATATTTTGATACAAGAGTTAGAGCCATAATTCTCTTCCTCAAGAAGGAAACCGGAAGAGGCCTGGTTTTACGCGACCGAAAGACAATGCGATCAGCGGTTAATTTGAAAACAAGCAAAAAATGGCGGAAGGATTTCTTGATGTAGTTGGGAGTGAAAATGAAAGTACGGAGAACAGGAAAGCTCCCCTCAATGATCATCCAGTGTTCAGGGAAATATCATTTTCAAACGGAAAAATAAATAAAATGAAAAAGGATGAAGTCAAGAGAGAACTGAAAGAGCGTGGGCTGGATTCACGGTGAGTGCAATGAAATATTTGACCTGAAATTAACTCAAACAAACTCGGTTCAACGGCGCTGTTCTAAGCCTGACTAACGGATAAGAGAATGGGGATAAGGGAAGGATTAGGAAGGCATTAAAACGTAGTCAAAGCTCTGCCTCGCCAAATAACGCAAAATTCAGAGACCATCAATATCTCATAGAGAGAGATGATGTACTTTCCACACACTGTAATAAAATTATTGATCGAAGATAAGACAAATATCCTTCCTGCAGTTGTATATTTTTATCTACTACATGTAGATGCCCCACTTTCATCTGCGAAGAAGAGGCTTAAGTTTGAGAATCTAACAATTCTGATTCATTTTGTAGAGGGGTAAAGGAAGTTCTCCGAAAGCGTCTAAAAAATCACATAAAAAAAGAGAAGCTGGCTCAAGCTAAGCTGGTACAAGAAAAGAGAACAAACGAGGTTCATTTCTACTGTGTCATAGATTTTGAAGGAACGTGCGAGGAGAATAATCCAAACGGCTACATCCATGAGATAATTGAGTTCCCTGCAGTACTTTTGGATGCAGTTACACTGGAAAAGGTTTGTAAGCTTTGCAAGAACATCTATTTGCCAACTCTCCTTAATTTTCAGGGGGTATTAAAACGACATGTGTATTGTTCATTAAATTAAAGTAACATATACATTGTAATTGAAATGTAATGTCTGCAGTTTGTGATCAAAATGATTTTAAACTATTGTAGTTTGAATTGTTTTTTTTTTGCCTTTATTTCTGGCATCCTTGGACTTAGAAACACAAATCCAAGAAGTTTGAAAATAAAATATTTCAATGCTAATTTATTTTAGAATGCAACATTTAGAAAGCATCCAAAAATTTGCAGTTTCTCGCAGGCATTAACTATGTTGAGTAGTGGCTGCTTAATCCTGGAGTTTTTCTCTTTATGGCCTCTTAGCAACATAAAGTGTAGTATGAAAACTCTGTAGGGTCTTAATGTTGACAATTTTGGAAATTGCTTTGGTACTGCTGAAAATTATTTCTTGCCTGAAAGAAAACATCTATCACAGTGACTTTTGTTTAAACAAATCGTCTCCAGGGGAATAGGATAGGGTTGATGGGGAAGCCTTGCTTTTGAATTTTTTGCTGTGGCAATCTTTTTGGTTAGAGAGGTATTACCTTCCAAGATCAAATATATTTTAGTGATTTCTGTTACAAGAAAAAGGTACTAGAACTCATGTTGAAAGTTGAAGATTTTGCATTTTCCATCCTTGTTATTGTGATCTGCTGCTTGAGTGAAAAAAACTGATAAGAATACACTGTATTTTACTGGGGTGAACCAGATTTGCACGAAGTAATTTTCATATACATGTAGGCCATAAATGAAAACAAATGAATATTGTAAATAAACATATTAAGCTTAAAGTGTTAGGAAATCCCAAGTGGCGAAGTACAGTGTACAAAGTATACCCAATGAATTGAACTTGAAGCAAATGAGGACAAATCTGACCAGTGAGTAGTAGAGTGGAGGGCCTCAACTTGGGATCACCACCTGTAACAAGACCAGTGCCCAATACCACTTGGCTACATTTGACCAGCAGCCTTTCACCATGTATAGTTCTACTCATTCTCTAGTCAGATTACCTCCCCTCAAGAGGGCTAATTGGGAGTCTAAAAGGAATTGGCCTTGGCATTCAGTTATACTCTGTATTTCAGATAAAAGAAAATGTGGGCCACCATCAGAAATGTTTTAAACATTCAAGTCATGTGAACAAACCTAATGGTAACTCAACCAAATTTGACATTTGGGGCTAATGATTGATACTTTCAATTAGTGTTTTTAACAAGAGATCCCTTGATCCTCCCCGCTGATCTTTGAAATGCATTTCAACACGCTATGTTAGCTATTGTTTGTATTCAGGACAGGTCTTACACCAGTTTGACATAAAATTATCTCTTCAGGTGTCTGAATTTCACGAGTACTGCAAACCACAAGATAAGCCAGAACTATCACAGTTCTGTCAGAACCTAACTGGAGTTACTCAGGTAACAAAAGTCAAAATATTAACAACATTATTATTCATTACTCATGTCCATGAGTAATTTCTTTAATCTCTATCACTAGAGTCCTGGTAACCAGTCTTGTGCTCTGATTTTTGTTTAGATAATAAGCTGAATTCTACATTATTGGTTCTTACTTACTATTGGAGGAAAAACCCATGATGTCACCATTATCAACTTTTTGCATCTTTATTACATAAAACAAACAGATTTCATGTTGCTGTGGTTCTGTTCATAAACAAATCACAGGAGACTCAGTAGTAAGAACATCAGTGAAACACTCAGCTGCACCTCATGTGCCACCTTCTTTGTTCATACCATGCTTTCAGGTCATCTTTGATCTACTGTACGTGTAAAGTGGAACCTCAATTTAATGAACCTCGATCTATATAACAAAGTCTTCAGTATAACGAAGTATACTTCAGTTTCAGCCTGGCTAAAGTTACCGTAAAATGTATGCCACAGAACCTCGATATAATAAACCCTCAATATAACAAACCAATTAACCCAGTCCCTTAGCACTTCATTAAATCGAGGTTTCACTGTACTTGTAATAATGAACAGATGCGCTGCAACATGGAATTTATTTTTTAAATGGTTCTTTAAGCATTATGAGTCTAGTTTGAGTTTATTATTAGAAAAATATTACTTATACCAGCAAAATGTGTTTTCTAAAGCATGTGATAGTGAAGAGATATTAAACATTGAGAATCTTCTAAGGTAAAAAAAAAACTTAATATCAATCAAAATGTTTCTTTCCTAGTGTATATTAAATTAGTTTCCACAGTGAATTTATATTTTTACACTAATTTTTCTCTGGACCATAGAATTAATTATATTGTAGAATGCTCTGTTAGATGGAATAAATAAACTATTACAGAAAAAAAAAATTAGTCTAGTAGCTCTGACCCTGCTATATGATCCTTCTGGGCTTAGTAACCAGTATTTACTAAAAGTAGCTGGTGGGAAACATTTGAGTGCCCAAGCGTAGTTTTAATCACTCTTTTTCAGTATACATGGAAATGAGTCAATGTTTAGAATTTTGTTCAGATTAAGACAGTTGTTTTAGTGTGTTACCTCAGTTGACCCTCTAATTCTCAAGATCTGATTGGGGTGGGGGGGGGGAGGGGCTATGGCCCTACCAGCCTCATCCCCTCTGAGGTCCCTGACAGTTAGACTTGTGACTGTAGTTTTGAATGTATTGTCAAGAGTCCATGGCTTGATTAGTATTTTATGTCATCTCCTTTCAGATGACTGGATTGTCTATAATGTAGGCCTTAATAACTTTTACTTACTTTCTTTTGCTGGGTAGGAAACGGTGGATAATGCTGATACATTCCCAGGAGTCCTTGACAACTTTCACCAATGGCTTAACAAACATGAACTTGGATCAGAATATAAATTTGCTGTTGTTACTGATGGGTGAGTTTACTTCTCGCACACGTTTCTTCCACTCCCTGCACTGAGTTTCGGAAAAACTGAGTTGTTACCCCAGTGACAGGTACTCGTATATACTACAAGGTAGAGAGAGACGCCGTGATGGTGTCTCGCCCAGGCAGAAATAGAGTAATGAATTTGCAGACCTTGTAGACGTTGAGCTTACGAACTCACGATGGATTTCTTAGGCCATAAACGACCCCGAAGTTTTTGGTCTGAGTTAGGGGTGGATTAAAACAGTGGGCTCATTCAAGACCGCAGATTATTAGTGGGAGGGGCCTATGAGAAAGTGGGGCTACCAGAGGTTTTATAGTAATTCCTTTCTTTATTTTCCGAATGTAGCCCTCATGATATGAAGCGGTTCTTCTCGGAACAGTGCCAACTCTGCTCCATTCTTATACCCAAGTACGCCAGAAAGTGGATTAATCTGAGAAAATTGTACAGAAATTTTTACAAAATGAAAAATGGGACTCTTGAAGACATGGTCAATAACCTTGGTTTGAAATTTGAAGGGCGGCCGCACTGTGGGATTGACGATACGCGAAACATTGCAAGAATCTTACGAAAGATGGTCCAAGATGGCTGCGAAATAAAATTTAACGAGAGTCTGTATGATACCACCTGACTGTTGACAAACTCGGGACACTGCCATCAATTGGAAACGCCGTGAACAGGAAGCCCCTTTTTTAGCGTAAAACGTGGGGAACTAAAGAGAACCTCAGTTAGAAATTCAGTTTTCTGAGATCATGAAGAAAATAAGCGAAACAAGGCATTGATGTATCAACGAAACGTTTTCTCACTCACTGAAGAGCTTGTAATTTTAGCAAAGGAGGGGTACGTGTTATTGTGCTCATTTTTCGTTTAGAAATAATAAATGTCTTTCAACCAATCAAACGCTCAGAAGCTGTGGGTCTGGGGTTTGATTTATAGTGACAGGGACTACGGAGAGGAAAGGGCTAGGCAAGGGGCTTTATGATTAGTCCCCCCGTACATTTTTGAAAGAAACTTGTCCTGCTAAGCATGCCCGCATCCCGCTGCTTTGTTGGCTGAAACTTGTGCATCCCCCTTCTCGCTTAAACACACATACTCAGACCTTACTGCGCGGGCCCTGAGTAAAGGACTCATGTTTTCCTTGTGCTACGTGCACTGCGAAAGGAATAACAATATCATAATATATGTTGTGGTTATTCATCGTGGTAAACAAAACTTTGAAGAGATTTAATCGTTTGTCCCACGAAATGGTCACTTGGGATGCGGATCGCGACGTTTCGACTGCATACTGCTCGTCTTTCTGTAAATTCTGAGTCACCTGTTAGTGGAGATAAGATGTTAGCTAGACTAAGTGGACAACTCATATACGAAGGTGTTCACGCATGACACAATTGGTCTCAGAGGTATACTGGCTTTAAGAATCCTCGGTAAACCGTACATTCTAGGCGGCTGTTTGTTTTTTGGTCCGATCTTGTTGTAGACGGCCTCGGATAGATATCCTCTTCGTTTCAAGCACTTAGTGTTCATGTTGAATTCTTGAAGGTTAGAGTGTCATCCTGTGGCTTCCTGTCTCCTGATGAAAACAACAACAGCGAACGCCGCTGACTGACTCACCATAACCCTCAGCATAGTTTGGCACGACGATTCAATGTTTTCACTATCAGATATCCGTTTTGCTTCAAAGTTTACAGTGCCCAACTCAGAAAACGAGATCACGGTGCCCATCGACGTTGAAGCGTTGTTTACCAACGTTCCGATCGACGAAGCTGTACAGGCAGCTCGGCAGAAACTGGAAAACGATCCCAGCCTGTCTAACCGCACGACACTAGCACCTAGTCAGATCACCGACCTCCTAAATTTCGTATTGAGATCTAGGTACTTCGAGTACAATGGATCAATTTACGAGCAGACAGAGGGCGCAGCTGTAGACAGCCCGGTTTCCGCTGTCATCGCTAACCTACATGAAGAGTTTTGAAGAACAAACAGTAACATCATCACCCTACAAACCCAGTATCTATAAACGCTTCCTAGACGACACCTATACCATCTTGGCCCATAACAGTTTAGAAAGCTTCCCACAACATTTAAACCACCAATAGCCCTTCATTCGCTTCGCTATGGAGACGGAAAGAAACAACAAACTCGCCTTCCTCGACTCCGCAGTTACAAGAGAACCCGTTTGACGCCTTACCACCGACGTCTACAGGAAGCCGACACACACTGACCAATACCTAGCCTATGATTCTCGCCATCCGCAATTGGTAAAGCGCGCTATTGTCAAATGCCTTTACGAGCGCACGAAACATCTCGAAATAAAACTCTCGGTTATCTACAATGCCGGAGAAGGAACATCTGTCTTCCGTTCTTGTTTCTAATGGTTGTCTTTCCTTCTTCGTGCAGAGGGTAACCAAAACTAAGACACCGACCGCTAGCCCTGAACCCCCTACCGAGTTCAGATCCACTGAGGTCCTGCCCTACGTCAAAGGCCTCTCCGAACAATTTCGCCGCTTTCTACAACAACAAGGCATATGCGCTATTTTCAAGTCAGGGGCTACGCTACAGTCACATCTAGTACACCTAAAGGATGCCGTCTACCCTGTTGGCTAAACAGGGTGGCGTAGTATACAGGATTCTTATTGAGTGTGGAAAGGTTTACATCGGCTAAACTGGCAGACCTAGGCAAGAGAGAATCAAGGATCACTACAGGGATATCCCATTCGCTAAGACAAAGACCTGCATCGTCTCAGACTATCCCCACAACACCGGACACTGCCCGCCCTGGAACGAAGTAAAGTTTGTTGATTGTGATCCCCATTTTTATACACACAGGGTGAAAGAGGAAACTCATATAAGACTTCACCCTAACAACATTAACAATCCTGGCAGAGTTGAAGTGAAATTCCAGAGGTCTGGGAGAGCTGGAGAGCCGTGCGGCCGCGGTCTGCAGAGGGAACCTGATCCGAAAGATGCGCCAATCACAGTCGGGGATTCCATCTAATCACAGCTCAGCACAACAGCACGTAGGTAACGCGTACTCAGTTGATCTCATCGCCTGAAGGAGACTAGCAGTATTTTTTGGTAACAATATAAGTAGTTTTTGCTTCTCTAAGTACCCTACTCGATTTTCATTTTAGTTTAGCTGAAACATTACCCGATATAATCTGTTTTTAGTGAAATCCGACACTCTAATAGATACAAACGCAGAGATCGATAGATACAATTGCGATGCTGAAATCCTCGCTGAGGTGCTGTTTTCGGTGGGCTATCATGACAGAATTCATCCTTATCAGTTTATATGTTAATTGTAAAGGATACCAGCTTCTGGAACCAGACGAATTTAAATGGGGAAAGTATATTTCTTATCGAGATGACTCGTTCTGTGAAGAGGACAGAGAAAGTAGAGGTGAGTGTGCTTGTACGGTTTACATTAGTTCGTATTTAGGTTTCTCTGAAGAGCTTTTGAATTCTTTTTGAATCGCTTCCTTCAACTGCCTAGCTGGAATGTACACTTACACCGCTGAATTTATTCTGGCCAAAACGAAAACTGCACAAGAGCAAAATATATCAATCAAAATCACTTAACGCTGAAATATCGACATCATAATATTTGTAAATCCGTTTCTTTTGCTCTTGGAAATTTCATGGAAAAAATTAACTTCTGATGGTATTATCTGCCATGCGGAGCATAAAATCTTTTCGCCTTGTCGGTAATTCATTTCATTTTGGTTTCCGGAATGAAAGCGAAAATATAAAGACTTTGAGCAAATCAAGAAACAGTTTTGATATGCAAATCTCATCTCCATATATGAAGAATAGTTGTATTTCTTGACAGTGGAGCGTTTCGATGAATTTTAATATGATCCCATCGCTAGATTAGTTATATCGGACAAGTTTCATCTTATAAATACGTATTTTCAGACCCACATATTAATTCACAGTCATTAAACCTTTGGTTGAGTTTATATGCAATCTCACATCCGACACTTTCATTTTTTAAGTATTTTGATTCTTAGAAGGCCGCTTTAAGCAGGTCAAACTAAAACCCGTCAATAACTCATTTGATTTGTTTTTCAGTTGTGCCAGAAAAACTTAGACCAACGAATATCGATAAGGCTATTGCCTACAGATGTACAAGTGAGATTTTGATACCCAATATCACATTATACAGATCATTTTCACCCCAGCAAGAACGAAATGTGCTTATGGAGATTTATAATCTAACAGCTGGTCACAAGTGGAATAACAACACTCACTGGGGAAACGACTCAGTACCACACTGTTCTTGGCACGGAATAAAATGCGATATCACCAATAGCCATGTTATTAGTATCACTTTGATAAACAACAACTTAAATGGAACCCTTCCGAAAAGCCTGTGGAAGCTTCGTAATCTACAGATTTTGTGCATTGGCACCAATGCTGAGTTATCAGGCAATCTCAATGAAATTTTGTCTGCCAACATGACCAATTTACGCACTCTTCATCTCCCTTTTAACAAGTTATCTGGTAAGATTCCTGATGAAATTTTACCATCGATGAAGTCACTGGAAATAGTCCAGCTTTGCTGTCAGTTGAGGGATGGCTTTTTTGGTGAAATTCCAAAAGACATTGGGAACTTGACGCAATTACAAGTTCTCGGTCTCGGGGGAAGCAGATTGACAGGTTCAATACCGAAGAGCATTTCAAAATTGAAAAAACTTTGGTTTTTGGATCTTAAAAGTGCAAAATCCCTAAGTGGAGGCTTTGCGAACCTTTTCAATCTGTCGTCTCTACGATATATGCACCTGTCACGGGCTGGATTAAACGGAACTTTGCCCGACGATTTTGGACTTTATTATCCTGCCATGGTTGAGTGTCTCTTGCCAGGAAATCGTTTCACTGGAAACATTCCGCCAACTTTGGGTAACATGACTCACTTACGATATTTGAATTTTGCCAGAAACAATTTTTCTGGAAAAATACCCAGAAATATCGGCTCAGTTTCCTCTCGTGATATTGTCGACTTAAGTGGAAATCAATTAACATCGTTTGAGGAAGGGATCAAGTTTAATGATCTGGAGGTACTAATCCTTGCTGGTAATAAGAATCTCACCCACAGTTTTAATTCCTTGCTAGTCGCACTAGAATCATCAAGAAAATCTCTACGTATTCTGAACATAGGTGAGTGTAATTTTTATGGCATCATTCCAACTGAACTGTGGATATTTGAGAATTTGATTTCCGTGGATTTAAAGAAGAACAGCCTAAAAGGAGAGCTTCCGTGGGCCTTTCATATCTTGTACTTCCTCCATGATCTTGATGTTTCAGCGAACAACCTTTCTGGACAAATCCCTGGAAATTATGCAGACTTACCTTCCTTGAAACTCTTAGACGTTTCCAAAAATCCTTCAATGCATAATAACGAAGAAGAACATGGAATATTGCCAAAGTATATGAAGGTTGATTTTGTAACTTTGACGTACAGGAACCCAATTGACAAGTTTAAATGTCCAAATATCGGCCTTAATGACAACACACTGGTGATTTTGGATCCCAGCTATTATTTTTACCGTCTTTGCATTTGCGATAGAGGATATTATGGCTCTGGGAAAACCTGTCTACCCTGCATGGAAGGTGGAACTTGTAAGGATGAGAAACCTCCTTCTCAGAATATGACAATCAAAAGAGGACATTGGCCTTCATCACGTGATCAGAACGTGACTCATCTGGTTAGCTGTTCACAAGCTTTGGGCACCAGCCCTCACGTGAGAACACCCTGCAATCCATCAGGTAATTGTCGCTGCTGGATTGACACAGACCGCAGTCCCTCCACCATTTGCAACAAATCGTGCCTCTGCCTGACAGGGAGTAAAGATCGATTTTGTTCACTTTGTGAACATGGATTTTACAAACAAGGAATCATTTGCCATGCTTGTCCTCAAAGTAATACTAGTGTCTTCATCCTGGCTGCACTTGCTGTCCTGACTATCATTTTGATGACTCTCGGCTTTTGCCTTTACGAGGAAAAGCGCTTTTTCTCTACAGTTTTAGTTTTTACTCAAATAATAATCTTAGCATTACTAGCCGTTTTCCACATAATTCCTGCATGGCTACTTGAACTCAATGCAATAGCCCTCTTTATAGGTTTAGCTGAAAGAGGAAGGGCTGCACGAGGAATTATGAAGATCAGTGTTTATTATTTTCAAACTCTGGACGCTTTGATCTCCTGCACCAACATTTGGCCACCTCGAGTTCTTAAAATTCAACGATACATCAGCAACGTGTTTAACTTTCATTTCTCTGGCCTGGCTTGTGAGTTTCCTAACTTGTTTACTCCACTCGGTGAACTTGGATCTCTTATTCTCCTACCTGTTATTTGCATCCTCTGCATTTGGTCGTACTTTGGTCTTGTTTGCCTCATGGGTGGTATTCTTAACGTTCACAATTTGCAAGAAAGACGACTACGACTACGAAATACCTGTTTGCAACTTTCCATTGTGTCCCTCAATGTCACATATTTTCCCATTGTAAAGAAAACCGCCTCAGTCTTAGCTCCTTGTGCAAAGGACAACAACTACCATTACCTGAGGGAAGCACCATGGATGGAGTGTGAAGGTCCTGTCTACACCATGCTACAGGTGCTAGGCTGGCTTTCGCTAGGACTTTATGCGATGGGTGTGCCGTTTGGAGTTTTCCTTCCTCTTTTACGAAACAATAAGGTCGCCATAAGATACGAGCTGCCCCAGCAAGACCAAGAAAGTTTGGACAGTTGGCTCGGTTCCATCTACTTGCCATACAAGAAAGAATTCCGTTCCTGTTTTGAGATCATCTTTCTTCTAAGGCGGATGCTGATCGCTTTCGCGTTGTCCCTCATTACTCGTTCATCGTCCTTTCAGACAATAGCTGTTTGCTTTGTTTTGCTGGTTTCCCTTTGCTTTCAGTTGCTCTTTAAACCATATATTGATTCTTACCAAAAGTTTCCATTAGAAAATACAGCAGAGGCTTTGGTTCTTCTGACCCTTCATTTCTCTTTCATGAACGTAAGGTATGCAGCTCGGAACCCCGCCTCATCCACACCCATTGTTTGGATGATCGTAGTGGTGAACGTGGTTCTTGTCTTTGGCATGGTGATGTCAATGATTGTTCTTCTTGGCCGATCGCATGCAGCGGAGAATGCCACCATGCGAGTCCACTTAAGGGCGACTGATGAAGATGATTTGACACTCCCTCTTTTAGATGATGGAGCTTATAATGACTGAAAAACTTGGTTAAGAGACTGATGTTTACCCTTGGATATCTCAATTTTATTCAGATCATTATTAAGCAGGTGAGAGTACTGAAGAGTACTGACTTTGAATCGATTTACATGGAGACCCTGAGTGACGCGTGGCATAGACGTGTTTAATTGACGTATCCGTGTAAGATGTAGAACGTCGATCGCTAGATAAGCTCAAGGATAAAACTCTTTGACTAAAAACGAATCGTGTTTAGAGACTTGAAAGGATAACTGTTCATAGGACTTCTGTTGCCTTGTATTGAATTCAGCTTTAAATAGCAAGAGTAACATAAATGGTAACACGATATGTTAAGGGAGTTTTGGGTCGGAATAAGCCATACATACGATTAAGCAGAAAGTGAGAAGCTCGTATTGTTTTTGAAAAGGTAGCAGCAGCAACTTGAAAACGTCGCTGAGGTATTCTTATGAAGCGAATAAGCAAATATCTCCAACTGTTTTAACATCCACACCTCCTTCCAAATAGAACTTCGTGCAAATACAGCACACCTAATTCAAAGAGTGATCTTCACACGCCATTTTTTGTTGGGTGCGACAGCGTACGGGTGTAACTGCTCTGTTTAAGGAAAAACGTTACTTTTCAACTGTATAGGATTTTTTAAATAATAGAATGTTACTAGCGGTGACCAACTATATATGTAGCTTGCAAATGTTAAAAGCTTGCGATTTATAAAAAAAAGAGATATTTTCATTACAAATTAAGAAGTTTTTGGTGTTATGAATTAAAATGTAAACAAATTGAATCAGGTCCACGTTTTTAAAGGTATCCTGTTATCCTTTATCCTTCATTTCTCTACTAGGGTAGATAAATCATTTAAGATATTGAAATATGTAAACCTAAAATTTTACTTTTTATTTGCCCAAATAAGATAGTCTTGCGTAGAAATTTACCTAATCATTTGGTCAGAAATCGTATCATTTATGTTCTTGACATATGGAAGTGATATTCACTTACCAGGGCTTAATTGAAGTTTAGGTCAAACCACTTTCAGAAATTCCGGATCGCCAAATTACCATCAAAAAAAGGCCATTGATGTACGAAAAATTTTCCAATATGATATTATATTGAATCTGTTTTTCGAAACGCTATCCACAAGGTTTGGTCACCACTTTTTACAACAACACTTCGATGTAACTTTATTCCCAATAACACTTCAGAATCAACAAAAGCTGTTCTCACCTTTACAATTATGCCATTTTTATATAGTTTTTTACCATCATTGTACATTATTGAAAAATTAAGGTTTTTCTTAAGCTTTTATCCTTTAAAAATCATAAATAACGCAGATGCCTCTCAAGATTTCTACACTAGGGCTGATTGGACCTGCAAACTGTTAACTTCACTCGGTCTTTGCTAGACGTTCTAGAGACTTGTATATCTTCTGGTGACCATTCATTTGATATGTAACAGTATTATTTCCATTTTAGGTGATTGAGTTGTCAATATGCACTCGAAAACCATGCCTATAATTCAAAAAAATAAAGTTACAGTGCATGTTTATCTCTTTCATCTATATATATGATTTCTTTGTGTTCATATTTATCCTAGGGTCTGCAATGCGTTTATTATCCAAGCATAACAGTACCATGTCAGAAAAAGAATATAATCTTAACTGCGTCGACCTTTTAAGAGAAAAATCGGTTCAAATACAAATTATACATATTCCAAGCTGATGTTACTGAGTTAAATACAAAAAAAAACAAAAGGGAGTCTGCATCTCACAGAAGGTCTTGTGATTCATGAATCATTACTCTTTTAATCCAAATTTAACGAAATTTTGATCAGATAATTTGATCTATAAGCTGAGATAATTTGTTATTCTCCAACGCACGCCACTAAATGCTCATGAAACCAACTTTACCATACCTTCTAAAAATGAGGCTTGTACGCTAATAAATGCTCTCGTAGCTTGATTAGATAGACAACATTTGCTTGTTAAAGCCAAGGTGTCTAGTTCGAGTCCAAGGAGATTAAGTCAGCGTCTTTTTTCTTTTCTTTATTGTTTATATGTTTTTCTTTTCTTAATCTGTTCCAACAGATACCGTATTCTAGCTGCCCAAAGTTCAATAGTTGCTTTTTTACTCTACAGTCTTTCTAAATGTATTCCATCTGTTTTATTTTGTTTCAGACATTCACACTTAGGCGGCCATGTCTGCCATTAAAAGTCATACACACTATTTCATTCTAAAAGCAAATTAACGCGTCCAACACCATTCTTCTCTTTGACTTGTAATTGGCTACCTTTAAAAGCGCGGGAATTAATTATGTGACGTAAATTTAAGTGATTGGCTGTTGCTGCTGAAGCACGTGTATGCAAATTTAAGAAATCACACTAAACCACGCTAGTCGTCGATGTGTGGGGACGTAGGTTTCTGCTACTGAACATTTGGATGTACTCTTCATCAAAAAGATGGATTTATGGAATGAGACTTGAAGCCATGAGCTAATATCAAAGGTAGGCATCATTTACGATAAATTTGGTCTTTAGTTTGTCCAGAACTGTAACGTTATACCTAAGTATAAGGAGTAAGGCAAAGAATTCCTTCGATTTAGAGTTAATGTGTGCATGTTCGTTCCGAGCTTCGGTCGGTTCATTGTTTAAACAAAATTCACCGGTAGTTTAACCTCGAGAATACACTTGTTAGGCAAAATGATCTACATTAAGTGTTACACTTGCGTCGAAAAACTGAACAGCGAAATGTTCTGAACTCAGTTCGCAACCTAAAACCGAACACGTTGCACCAACTTTCTTGGTCAGATTCCATAAAGTGTATTGTTCTGAAATTCTTTTACGTTCCTGATCAACTTCACTCATTCGTTTATATCCTACAAGAACAAACACTGCACTATTAAGCGTAGAATTATAAACTCTGGTTATAAGGAAAATATTCGTTAGAGTCCAGTCTTGCGTAGGGTGAACCAAAGGGCGTCATTGAAAGAGCGCTCGTTATACAGAATGTAATCATTATATTTAACTCTAAGTTTGGCTTTGGAATGTATTCAGTTACTGATCTTTGGATTATTCTCTTTAATTTATAGGGACGTTACCGTTATGAAGAAAAAGGAAGGACGAGACTACATGGTCAGGGGAAGAAACTAGAATCAGTGAAGAATGAAAACATTGGTCGTCAAAGATAAGAACTTTCGACTCTTTTCAGTAACAAATTCATAAAAATGCTGGCTGTAAAGTGATCTAAATTCCAACAGGATCTTGTGATTTTGGCTTTATTTATTCGAATTGTTTGTTTCTATTGATTTCCCACCAAAAAGAAAAGACTGAGAGACAATGAATGATTGAAACGTAGCTCTTAAAGCATTTGATGCCAGCCATCGTTTTTGGAAATAGCCCACAAACATACACGACTGACGTAAGTAGGATTGTAGACGCTGAGCGATCGGGTCATCCATACCGAGTTTTTGAATAATTTAGTCAAATTCGAAAACAAGTTAACACCATGGTTATCATGCTATTAAATTTGGCAAGTAAAACGCTCGTAAGAACAGTATAAATAAAAACTCGCGCGGTATTTTCATTTTCTGCTCCTGATCGCTCGTCGTCTCAGTAAGCACATGTTTTGTCACAACACCCACACCACTTCAATTACTACGGAGGAGATATCTTTTAATGTGGCACTGTGAGACAAGTCCGAATTCGAGAAGACAAAGCCGAAAGCTCGTACCCTTTTAAATTAATTACTTGTACTTTTGATTTGGATTTCCTCGTAAAACCGTTTGATTTGCCCTCGATTTATGCCGTATAGCTTAAGAAACTAAAGGCTTTTTCAAAACAATTTAAATCGTTTAATTAGAATTATTGCAAGCTTTTCCTTCATGTTAATTCACTATCATTGTCTCGGAAACAACGACGCATTATAAAATTAAAAGAAAAGATTCAGATTCCCCGGAAAGAAAAGGCAAGCAAATTTGCGTAATTTATCAACATACAGAGGCGCGAACGAATAGTCGATCTACAGTCGAAGAATTTTGAATTTGGACTGTTCTCAGTTTATGAAATTTATCATAAAAAGTTTCAAATTAACCTTGAAGAAAAAAATCAGAGTTTTTCGCTCTCCACGGCTGAAGAGATTTAACTTAAAGTTTGGTACTTGAAATTAAATTTGAATTTATCTAAGAATTTTGGAAAACAGAAATCAGATTTTTGCGATGTTAACATCGATCTGAGGAAATGCTATTGAAGAATTTTAGGTTTAAAACTTATTAGGAGTATAATTTTTCCTTTTTAATGGGGGAGGATCTTAGATCTCTGGTCTTAAATTTGGATTTTTGTTTTTTTTTTGAATTTGGGAAAACTATCAATTAAAATCAAAGTCTCGCAATATTCAAGGCTAGAGAAAAAATTAAAAAAAAAAGTCATAAAAAAGAGTGAAATTTGCATCCGAGAATTTGGAGAAATCAAAAAAAGCTTCGCACCACCCAAGGCTGGGGAAATTCATTTTTGGCACTAATTTTGGAATCTACTTAGCACCATAAAATGTTTAAATTCTAAATCCGAGGATTGTTGCGCTGATTAGGAGATCATGTTGATTATCGTTGTTTCGTTTGTTTTGGAAGTCAAATTTTTTTCAAGAAGAATTGCAAAATAATTGATACGAGTCTATAAAATTCTCAAATGTAGTTCTTACTTCGGAATAATATCGAAAAATGGGCAAAATTGTTTTGAAATCCAGAAATTTGTTCGCCTATTGCTCAAGGATAAGTTTCTTCTTAATTTCATTTAACTCGTTTACTTAAGAGATCTTCAAACCTGAAAATTCGAAATGCTTACGGTTTATTCAGAAATTTCCTTGGTAGCAGTTTCGATAACGCATTCATGACAAAACTTTGTTACCAAATTTATATAAAAATATTTTACTTCAAACTATCCTATGGCTAAGTTGTTGTCACGCAGTGCCACCTTAATTTATTCTCACGATACATTACTCATTTATTTATTTAGAGGTAATATTATAAGAGAACGCCTTTTTCTGACTGCTTTCGTTTTAACACAGGACAGTGCGAAAAAAGTCAAAACCATGAATTTTTGAAGTGTTGGATTGCCAGTTAAAAAGTAATCTGAAATCGGCGCTAATTCAAACAAAATAATGGAGCAACAAGCTATACAATTGTGAGATGTTTTAGCTCTTGTAGCTAAACCAAATGATGGAATTAATTGCTCCAAAAAATTATTTTTACATCGAGTTTATTTACAACCAATTTGAAGAAACTTAGGACATGATAATGAGATACTAAAACACAATTTAGATAACCCAGGATTAAAGACATGGAGCTTGTGAAACAAACTTCTTAGCTTCTTAGCTAAACCAAATTCTGGTAGATACCCCAAAACTAGAACTTTTGTATAGATTTCGTTATCGATGTCAATAATTTGTTTCGTTTTCGATTCATCTTTTCCTGTGTTACGTACGAAAACAGTATTTAAAAGGTTCCTGTTTAGATGCAACATGGCAAATTATAGCAATCTTAAAACTCAGAGTCAGGCATTATCTAGTCGTTATTTTTTATATTGAGAGAACGTCCTCATCCGCTTGCTTTCGTTGTATTAGAGAACAATAAGAACGCCTAATTTTTTGTAATTCTGGAATTTTCGGTTACAGAAGATTTTTGCTGATTAAAGCAATTGAAATAAATGACATGAAACAGATCAATTGAGAGTCTTCAGCCCTCGAGCAAACT